ACGGCACCCATTCACTGCAGAGAATTCATTGGTGAGCAAGTGATAAAATGCAAAATTTTTCCAAATCTGTTCTCATCAAGAAACAAACTCATCAACATCTTGGATAGCCTGAGGCTAGTAGTTGTTTTTCTTTTATTACAGGCATGCACTTTATACGACATCCGAATTGAGTGAATGTTTCTGTATAATCCGTGTGCTTTTTCTAGGCTTTCCACCTGGCGTGATCAACATTGTCTTTGGTACGGGCCCACGAGCCGGGGATGCACTGGTGTCCCACCCTGACGTGCCGTTGATCTCATTTACGGGGAGCACAGCTACAGCAAGACTGATAACAGAGCGCAGTGCACCGTACTGTAAGAAGCTTTCACTGGAGCTTGGCGGGAAAAACCCAGCTATTATATTTGCTGATGCTGACATGGAGCAGTGCATCAGCACTACTGTACGATCCAGCTTCTCCAATCAGGTTAGCTCATGCAGAGCTTAACCAATCAGATTGTATTTTCATATAGTGCAGAAATGTACCATATTACTGAGCTCAACCAGTCAAATCCTGCAGGTTTCTCTTTTCAAGACTAGCTTTCTGCAGAACTGCATACTGCCATACTATTAAAATGCGACTTCTAAGAAAAATATAATATATGATAATCTGTTATTGTAGTATTATTTATATACTATTATAGTATATTTTAAATACAATTTAATTTTTCATTTTCATTTTAGGTTTAGTAATTTTATTATTCCATTTTTATTATTATTATTTTTTAATAATGCTGTTTGACTTTATTTTTTAGTTTAAGTAATTTAAGTAATTCACTTTTATTTCAGTTAGCTGCTAAGGCAACATGTCTAATTAGTTTTTTAAGTGCAAGTTTTTCATTTTTGTCTTATTTTTCAGTTTTTTTTTTTTTTAGGGAAATTGATCTTGAAAATGATTCAATTTTAGTTAACAGTAACAACACAGATGATAACCTAACTCCATTAGCAGAATTAAACAACATATTGTTTAACTATAAAATTATATTATAGTGTCTCAAACCTTTCCTTTTAATGGGATGACACCATGTAGTTCAGTTTTCTGCCACAAGGTGGTGCTCAGAACACATAAATTGTTAATACGGCATTGTACATTGTGTTCTCTCACACTTTCTCTTTCTTTCTCTTTTTCTCTCACTTAGGCCTTCACATCACACACACAAACACATCATCTCTGTGCTAATATTTACAGTGTCTGTATATAATTAGTTTACACAACCCAGTGATAATTGTGAGATTTACTTAAGAACTTATTTGCATCTTTTTCTCTTCTCTCTCAGGGAGAGATCTGTCTGTGCAGCAGCAGAATCTTTGTTGAGCGAAGCATTTACCCAGAATTCCTTGCTCGTTTCGTGGAGGCGGCTCGTCGGTGGAAAACTGGAGTGCCCTCTGACCCCTCCAACGACAATGGAGCGCTCATCAACAAAGAGCATCTACAGAAGGTCTGATGATAATCACAGATGTGTTTCTATTGATAAAACAAACTGCGTTTTCAGTGTTAAGTGTCAGACAGTGTGGGATTAGAAAGTGGATATATGAAAAATACAGTCTTTATCTTCGTATAAAATGAAATTACTACGTTTACAAATAGACAGACACATAAAACATTTAAATTGCCTGCTAACTCCTACAGGTTAAAGGTTATGTTGCTTTGGCGCTGGAAGAAGGTGCCCAGGTGCATTGTGGGGAGGGTGTGGACAAACTTATCCTTCCACAACAAAATGCGGGTGGCTATTTCATGTTGCCCACTATCATCTCTGGAGTGAAAGACTCCTCCGCATTGATGCAGGAAGAGATTTTTGGCCCTGTAACCTGTGTGACACCCTTCGATGAGGAGGAGGAAGTAATCTCACGGGCCAACGGCGTCCGCTACGGTTTATCCGCCACGGTGTGGTCCCGAGATGTGGGGCGCGTGCACAGGGTTGCTAGGAAACTACAGGCTGGGTTGGTGTGGACCAACTGCTGGCTGGTCAGAGATTTA